ACCCTCCCCCCGCCCCGGCCCCCGTGGGTACAGACTCTCGGTTCTCCACCCGCTGCAGGAGAAGCCCCGTTCAAACCCCTACTCTTGGATGGATTTGGAACTTATTTTCTCCTCTGACTCGATATGCTATTTTCTTGCATCAAAGCTGTATCCAGTACCGTGATAAATACGTATTCAAGTATTCAAGCAGGGAAAATAACTTAGAGGTTGGAATCAACAGTAGCCTCAGGTCTGGCTCCGTGTGGAGAGTGGTATTATGGAACCAGACTTATGCAAAACTTAAATTCTTACATCCCAATTAAGAATTGTTCTCAAGTCTATCAAATCAGAATAACAGTAATCAACTTAATGGTGATAATTATTCCACTTCCCAAGCCCAGACTATCATTTCAGAGAGCAGGTGTGAGGCTACTCTCTCCAGATGTCTGAACCTGTGTTTATCTGTTTCATTATTGCTTCTGAAGCAGCCAGGATATAGTCAAGGAGCATTTGACAATGGAGAGTGCCCCACAGAGGAAATGAAACTGTTAAAATTTTGTCTTCCCAGTTCCTGGGTCTTGGTCCGTCCCTGCCCCATCTGGCTCTGCCAGCTCCAAGGGCCAGTGGGACCAGAGAGGAGCTGCCTGCAATCCTTCTTTTTGGGAGTTACACAAAAACTTGAGCGGCTTAGACCATCTTTGATGGAGAATCCACCTCAGTGCAGATATTTATGGTGTTTAGGGGTGTTTAAAGCTGGTCAACTCATTTCTGGATGCCTGTAGGAACAGGAGCAGCACAGTGGGTTTTGGATAGTGCCACTGACAGCTCTTGCATCCCTCCAGCACATTCCTGCCTGTGGAGACAAATGCTCAGCAGTGGGAGAGCTGGGATCAGTGACTGTGTGACCTCCTCCTTTTGGGGTGATGGGTTGTAAAGACCCTGGACAGTGTCAGCTGTGCAGCCCTCAAAGTAAGGCCTGGTTTTCCCTTTCTGTCTTTGTGCACCTGTCCCAAAGTGCAGGGATGAATCCCGTGTGAGGTGTATCTTCTGCCTGCCTGGCTGATTTTTGGGGAACAGATGTGATCTGGTTGTGGCAGGGAGTCTGCCCAGCCTTGCTGGGTGAATGGACTTGAGTCACTGGTTTCTGAGAGAGGTGGAAGAGAAACACTGCCCATGGCTTGGACAAGTGATCCCCCTCCATTCCTTTCCACCCAGCAGGGGATCCCAGCTCCTCACCCAGCTTTGACACTTCTTTGGCTCTAGGCTCCCTCCCTCCCCAGTGACCTTCAGCCCCTTTTAACGGAGCCCCTGCTCCTCCCAGCCTCTTTTAATTAAATCCTTGTCCCCCCAGCTCTGATTCTCCCAGTCCCCTTTAGTGTGATCCCCAGAGCTGCCCTTAACTCAGACCCCACAGCCCACCCAGGCTCTGACCTGGGGCCCACCTGTCCTGTGCCCAGTCCCTGTTGTGGTGTGATCCTGCTCCCTATTGCTTCTCTGGCGATGCCATCACGGAATGGGGTGGGTTGGGTCCCAGCCTGGGGCCATCCCATGGGCTGTGTGGGGCACTGGGCTCAGAGAGTCCCAGGTGTGTGAGACCAAGGGGCAAAGGGTGAGTGTGATCCTACAGACATTGTGGGGTGTCTGGATTTGGGGTGACCCTGCAGACCATGTGGACCCACAGGGTTTGGGACAGCCTTGGAGCCCCTGACTGGGGCAGTCCTTCTGTGAGGCTAGCTGGTGCATAGGGTGCAGGGGACTCTACCAGCACAGTTTGCATGGTTCAGTACCCAAAAATGCCAGCTGGGTGCTCCTCTGAGCAGCAGGAGTCATCTTGTTTTTCTGGTTCTCCCAGGAAGTGGGTGCAGGGCAGAGCAGCCCACACAGCCCAGCCCTGCCTTGGGCTGCACCCCATGCTCGTGAGTTTGGGGCCTTACTGGGGCGTTGTAACAAAGTTGGTCTGTCTGGGTGCTGCTGGTGCATGTGTTTGGGAATGGAGAAAATCAGATTCCTGGAAAAGCTGCTGGATGTGGGTTAAGCAGGGACAAGGGCTGAATTGCCTGGTGCAGCCATTAGTGAAGGGCTGAGTGAAGCTGTTTGGCTGGAAGAGCTGAGCTGGATTAAAGATTGTTTGGTTCTTTGCTAATCCCTAATCTCTTAATTCTCCTCTGAGGGTAAGGCTCAATATTAGTAGCAGGTGAGGACCCACCTACAGCTGGGTGTTGAACTTTCCCAATTTTACGTGGGAAAGGGAGTTTAGGAGCTGCTGCTGGGCTTCTCCTTTTTCCTGACATTTGCCAAGTTCATTGTGCTGAATAGGGCAGCCAGAGCTTGGGAGCTGCCTCCCAAGCTGTACCCTGAGCCACTTCAGCCTAACACCCAAGGTCAGCACTCCTGACAACCCTCTGAACTCGGCTGAACTGGCTCAAAGGGGAGTAATGTATGAGCCAAGAGTAGGTTTGTATCATTACCACACCCTGCTCTGCTCTGGAGGCAGGCTGCGAGGGCTGGGGATAGCCCAGAGAAGAAAAGGGGAGACCTCAGAGCCCCTTCCAGTGCCTAAAGGGGCTCCAACAGAGCTAGAGAGGGATTTTGGACAAGGATCTGGAGGAACAAGACAAGGGGGAATGGCTTCCCACTGCTGGAGGGCAGGATGAGATGGGATATTTGAAGAAATTCTTCCCTGTGAGGGTGATGAGGCTCTGGTCCAGGTTGCTCAGGGAAGCTGTGGCTGCCCCATCCCTGGAAATGTCCAAGGCCAGGTTGGATGGGACTTGGAGCAACCTGGGCTAGTGGAAGATGTCCCTGCACATGTCAGGGGGTGGAACAGGATGGGCTTTAATGTCCCTTCCAACCCAAACCAGTCTGGGGTTCTCTGAAATCCATAAATTCAGATGTCTCCTCCTAAAATCACCTGGAAGAGGGAGTATTGTATTAGGTCTCTGATGAGCTGATTGCTCCTGTGGATCTCCTTTAAATCATGATTTCCAGAGGTTTTGCTGACAGCCACATCTGTGGGGTTAAAAAGCCGTAAATGGAGCTCTGGCAACTCTATCTGTTTTGATTTCTTCCTTCTGGTGAGTGTTATTGGGATGTAATTTAATTGAGGGATTTAATTTTAGAATTTGAGTGACTCATTTGTGGGCAGAGACTATTCTCTGTGGAGCTGGGTGGTGAGTGGTGGGACCAGAGGAGAGGTTTCGTCTTGTTCCTGCATTTCTCTCTCATGAAAACTTACCAGAGCAAGAAGTTTGTGGTAAAAACTGCGGAGGATTTTTTTTGAGCTCTAATTGTTAATTGACCTTGTTCTTTCTAGGGGTTTGTTATCCTGAAACCCAAGGGTTCCCTTCCTCCTGTAGGCAGCATGCTGCATCGCACCATTCACCTTTTCCGGAAGGAGCTGCGGCTCCACGACAACCCAGTGCTGCTGGCTGCCCTGGAGTCCTCAGAGGCCCTGTACCCCGTGTACATCCTGGACAGAGCATTCCTGACCTCCTCCATGCACATTGGGGCCCTGCGCTGGCACTTCCTGCTCCAGTCCCTTGAGGATCTCCACAAAAACTTGGGCCAGCTGGGCTCCTGCTTGCTGGTTATTCAAGGGGAGTATGAGACTGTTCTTAGGGATCACATCCAGAGGTGGAATATCACACAGGTGACGCTGGATGCAGAGATGGAGCCGTTTTACAAGGAGATGGAGGCCAACATCCGGCGCCTGGGGGCAGAGTTGGGCTTCGAGGTGCTTTCCCTGGTGGGCCACAGCCTGTACAATACCCAGCGGTACGTGACTGCCTCAAACCCACAGGTGTTTCCAGGAAAGTCACTTGAGAACAGCATAGGCCAAGTGTCTTGGTTTTTCCTTTGGAGAAAATGTTTGGACTGTCTGAGGTGAACGTTTGCTGGAGAAACTTTGTGTGTTGCTGTCTTGGAAGGAACAGAAGAGATTGTGCACAGGTTTTAGGGTTTCAGCCTAAAGAGCTGGTTAAATTTTTCCTTTTGGGCAGTTTAATTCATCTAAAGACTTACTTTTTTTAATAGAGTGGAAGAAATTCTCTAACATACTTAATAGGACTTGTAAAGTTCTGTTAAATATGGTAAAGAGTTTTTGGTGTTAGATTTTTTCAAATTCTTTCAAAACAACTTTCACTGGTGTCTGAATACACTTGGATCCAAGCTGTTATCTGTGCTGAATGACTGAAGATATTAAAATCACTAAGAAGGAAAGCAGTAATAACTAAGCCAGCCCTAATGCTCCAATTGTGCAAAACCCCTAAATTATGTAAATGAATGGATGTGTATAACTTGCTGTCTTGAAGCTGTTTGCACAGGTGATTGCTCAGAGAGGACAGTTATTTACTGCCCTGAACGTTTTTTTGTGACATGAGAGGTGTCCCACACCCTGCCCTGTGTGTTCTGGCTGTGTGTAGCTGTGCAGGTGAAGCCATGGCTGCAATCCTGATCCCAGTTTTGTTGTCTTAGGTCCTGAGAAACTGCTCTTGGGATAGATGTTCATTTACCCAGGGGAGTTTTACTTGTAAAATCTGTAATTTCCACAATCACTTGCACTAATGGAGTTATAGCCTGTGGTGTCACCTTCCTGTCCATTGTCAGTTCCAGCTTCTTCCTTGGTTTCTGCTGTGTGGAAAGAGATCTTTTTTTTTTTTAAGGATTTTGGACATAAATGGTGGGAGTCCCCCATTAACTTACAAGAGGTTCCTTCACATTCTGTCTCTGCTTGGTGACCCTGAGATGCCTGTCCGAAACCTCACAGCTGAAGACTTCCAGTAAGTATCAGCCAGTGAGTGGGAATTGCTGGTCCTCTTTCTCTGCCCAAAAGAAGAGCCAGGGCCAAATGATAATGAGGCATTTTAGATGTTTTCTTGTTTTATTTCTGTGCATGGAGGGTTATTGATTCTATATAAGGGGATGTGACTGTTGGGAGGGGAGAGCAGGTGGTGGAATGGTCTTATAACTTCTTCAGTCTGTTTTTTCTCTCTCTGATTCTACTGTACTTCTCCCACGTGGATTTCCCAGTCTCTTCTGATCTGAGCTCCTTCAGAATACTCCTCATGGGGAGTTCTGTTTATCTCAGTTCTCTGGGTCAGGGAGAAAATTCCAAAGCTCGTTAGGATCTTGCTTCTCATGTTTATTAGGATGTTATCATCCTAACAAAACTTGGCAGGTCTCTCCAGACTTTCTGCACAAGCTCAAATCACTACAACCTGGCACATTTTTGCTCTGATGGCACAAAATGGCCCCAGACTGTGCAGCCTTTTTATCTTTATACTTATTCTTATCCAATTAACAATAGACACATATATTATTTTTCTTAATGACCCAATGACCCATCACCTGTGTGCTGCACTGTGGCATTTTCTATCCAATCACTGCCCAAAAACCTCTAGAGGAAAAACATGAAGAAAGAAGGACAAGCGACAACACTCTAAATCCTCCATCTTGTCTTCTGCTTTCTAAACTAGTTTAAACTTACTTTTTCACCCAGTGACTTAAAAGGCTCTCTAATCTACACACTCACACTTTTAGCTTTTTGTTTTCATGTATCACCATGAAAACATGCTCATAAATTTCATGTTCTGTAAAATTCAGTGTTCTCCTGGATGTCAGAGCCAGGCATGTCAGAGACAAGGGCACACACTCTGTGTCTCAGACTCCAGCAACTCTGATAGTAATCTCTTTTGATATTTGTGCAGCAGATTTACCACCATGTGGGACAGCTCACAAAATAATGGTTGGATTCAATAATTCAAATGTCTTTTCCAACCTTAATGATTCTATGATTCCGTAAAAGTCTTAAGCTTTTGCTAAGGCACTTTGAGAAAAGCTTTTATGAGATGTCAAACTCCTACAGAGGAAAGCCTGGGGAATTTACTCAAAGGCATGTTCTACATTTCTCTCAAGATTTTGGACAGGAATTGGATGAACCACTATGATTTTTTTTTACACAGGAAGTTCAGTGGAATAATCCTACTGTTCCCTCCTGGCTTTAATCTCTCCTCCTCTCTGCCATATGAGAAAGAGGGTCTGAGCTCATGTCTCCCAGGACTTGAGAAGAAGTTCAGTCAGATGTCTTGTGTTTAGCTCTGCATGAGGAGAGGTCAGTGATCCAAAGGGAGGTAAGGCTGAGGCAGGAGAGAGCTGGAATGGGACTGCAGGTACTTGGGATTCAATGTCAGGTGCCTCCTGCATGGCCTCAGCTCAGTACCACCAACCCAGGCTTGGATCTTCCCATCTTGGGGCAGTCCTGTTAATTCCTGATGTTAATTCCTAATGTTGTCCTCAGACAGTCTGATGACAAAACTCATGTGAGTACTGGAATATATAAGTTCCTATATTTTTTTCTAGTACTGTTTTTTTTCCTTTCTTGCCTAATTTGTTCGGACTTTTAAAATTAATGCTGATGAGAGGTAAGTGGTTCACGTGCTTCCCAGCAGGCCTGAGCTATGTCAGTACTCTGAGAGCTGCACTGGCCCCACCTCTGTAGGTGTCTGCAGCAGGGCTAAGCTCAGGTTTGTCCAGGTGAGTACAAAGATCTGTTGATGTCCGAGTTCCTTCATGGGTTGTGAGAAATCTCTGTGGTGCCAGCACTTCCTTGGGCCTCTTCATCTGTGTTTTACAAGGGGGAAGAGAAACCAAACTGATAGTCTTCCAGTCATATTGGGAAGCCACAGCAGCCGAGGCTGAGGAGATGTGGGGGCACTGCTGAGGGCTGTGGTCTTGGAGAACCCCCACCTTGGTTAGGAACGAGCAGCCAGAGTTGCCCAGGAAGCTGATCTGCCTCCTTCCCTATGAAACTGAGAGAAAGAAGCTTTGGATTAGATGTCGGGAATAAATTCTTCCATGTGAGGGTGGTGAGGCCCTGGCCCAGGCTGCCCAGAGCAGCTGTGGCTGTCCCATGCCTGGAGATATCCAAGGCCAGGCTGGACAGGGCTTGGAACAACCTGGGCTAGTGGAAGGTGTCCCTGCCCGTGGAAGGTGTCCCTGCCCATGGCAGGGGATAGAATGGAATGGCCTTTGATGTCCCTTGCAACCCAAACCAGTCTGGGATTCTGTGAAACCTCTCCAGAGTGACCTCTCCTCAGAGGCACAGGCAGCACCGTAATTGTGTTTAGGGTCTGAGGAGGCTCTTGGTTCCCTTCTAGAACTTGAGTATTATATTGCTGGGAGCCACTGGAGAGGAGCTGCCTCTGAGACTTTTGTATGGGATGGGAACTAAAAGGGGTTTGAGCTCTGGGTGCAGCTGACTTCTCTGAGCACTGTAACTTGGTGGGACTGTTCTTCCTCCCTGAGTTCAGGCTAGAATTCGCTGGAGCAATTGCAGGATGAACTTTTCCAGGAGAGCACAGCCTGGGATTTCTCGCTGTGCTTTCATTCCCTGTGCTCTGGTTGGACTGTGATAGAGGAGGCTTGTGTGTGCTACGGACAGGGGCTGCCTCCTTCTCCTGGCTCCTGCTGCTCCTTTCAAAGATATTTCTCTCTCACCTCAGGAGATGTAGGGCCCCTGACCCAAGCCTGGCTGAGTGTTACAGAGTGCCTCTCCCTGTGGATTTGAAGATTTCCCCAGAGAGTCTTTCCCCTTGGAGAGGAGGGGAGACTGAAGGGCTGCAGCGCCTGGAGCAACACTTGAGTGACCAGGTCAGCCCTGATGGAACGCAGGGGATGCCAGTGGCTCCAGGTGGGCTGAGATCAGTGCCCAGCTTGGCTTGGAGGAGGGTGGCAGCTTGGGTTTGGGTTTTGTTTTCCTTGATTTCTGGCAAGTGGGAGTGTTTTCCAGGCACGACATCAAACAAGCCCCGGTGATAGCGAAGCCAGTTCCAAGAGCTTTCCTCTGTTTGTTACTGGACATGTGTCATCTTGTGCTGCCTGAACCCAGATTTCTGTTTTCATTTCAGGGCTGGGTGACAAGTTTTGCTAAACCAAGGACAATCCCAAACTCGCTGCTTCCAAGCACCACAGGCCTGAGCCCATATTTCAGTATGGGCTGTCTGTCAGTTCGGACATTTTTTTATAGGCTGTCAAACATTTATGCTCAGGTAAGCAAATAATTGGTCCTAAGTAAGTAAATCCAAAACTGTGGCATGTCTGGTATGGGAGGCAGGATTTAACACTTGGATCATCTTGGTAGAGATTTTGTGTATCAAAAAATGCTGCTTTGTTAATGTCTCCTCACAGTGTCTCATGGAATCTGTGGAGTGGCTGCATGTTCTGTGAAACACCTGTGAATGTCTGCATCTCTTCCCAATTAAGTTTTAGAAACATGATACTCATATTCTAAATTCATATTTTCATCAGGAACTGTAGTGACAGGACAGGGGGGAATGGTTTCAAACTGAAAGAGACCAGGTTTGGATTAGATGTTGGGAAGAAATTCTTCCATGTGAGGGTGGTGAGGCCCTGACCCAGCCTGCCCAGAGCAGCTGTGGCTGCCCCATCCCTCAAAGCACCCAAGGCCAGGTTGGACAGGGCTTGGAACAACCTGGGCTAGGGGAAGGTGTCCCTGCCCATGGAATGGGCTTTAAGGTCCCTTCCAACCCAAATCATGGTTCTATGAATAGGGAGCAACCAGACCCAGGATCAGCAGGGAAGCCCAGGAAAACATTACTAAAATTCAAGGATTTGGTTTGTCTGTCTGGTGGTTAAGGGAAGTTTTTGATATTTTTATACAGTTTTGTTTCTGGAAATCAATTTGCTTTGTCTTACACAAGTTTTAATTGTAGCATAAACCAAAACCACTTTCAGAAATCTTGTTTGATTCTTAATAAAAATCGAGCTTGAAACCAACCCAGGAAAAACCCAGGTCCTCCTTTACCTCCATTTTAAGACTTTCTTTTGAGACATGACTGAGCCATCTGAATTCAGTTAACACATTAATAAACACATGCTTGGTGTAAGAAATCCCAGTGTGAACTGATTTGGAAGGGAGGTGGGGAATGTTTGAGGTAACACTGAGGTCTGTCAGTTTGGCTTTGCTTTGGGCCAGACAGCATTGCATCAGATCTTTGATTTCCTTGACTTGAACACTAAAGTGCCTTGAAACCAGTATTGTAGTCAGATTAATCTTTATTTTTTAGGTCTAACTGCCACAAAATGAGTGAGGCTGCAATGATATGTGTGATCTGAGGCTGTCACCTTGTGTCTTCCGCAGGCAAAGCACCACTCTCTGCCCCCAGTGTCACTCCAAGGGCAGCTGTTGTGGAGGGAATTTTTCTATACAGTAGCATCAGCAACCCCCAACTTCACCCAGATGTCTGGAAACCCCATCTGCCTCCAGATCTGCTGGTACAAGGATGCAGAGAGGCTCCACAAATGGAAAACGGTAATGAGGTGCATGGCCACAGCAGCTGCATTGGAGCTTGAAGCTTTCTTCTTCTCTTGATTGGTCCCTCCTGGTGGTTTGAGGGGGTCTTGCAGTGGTGTGACAGAGCTGGGAATGTTCAGCCTGGAGAAGAGAAGGCTCCAGGGAGACCTTAGAGACCCTTCCCGTGTCTAAAGGGGCTCTAGGAGAGCTGGAGAGGGACCTGGGACGAGGGATGGAGTCACAGGATAAGGGGCAGTGGCTTCCAGCTGACAGAGATCAGGCTAAGATGGGATAGTGGGACAGAAATCTTCCCTGTGAGGGTGATGAGGCCCTAGCCCAGGTCACCCAGAGCAGCTGTGGCTGTCCTATCCCTGGAGATGTCCATGGCCAGGTTGGAGAGGGCTTGGAGGAACCTGGGATAGTGGAGTATCTCCTTGCCCATGGCAGGGGGTGGAATTGGCTTCAATTTCCCTTCCCAGCCAAAGCATCCTGTGATTCTGTGAAAGCAGTGTATGAGGAGGGAGCTGATGTTCCTGTTCTGCTGCAGGCACAGACAGGGTTCCCATGGATCGATGCCATCATGACCCAGCTGCGCCAGGAGGGCTGGATCCATCACCTGGCTCGGCACGCTGTCGCCTGCTTCCTGACACGGGGGGACCTCTGGATCAGCTGGGAAGAGGGAATGAAGGTTCACTGCTGGCTTTTATTTCCCTCTGTTCTGCCTGGCCCTGGGAAACACTGCACAGCCAGAGTCTAGCAGTGGAGATTCTGCAGAGCAGAGTTTAGTTCTGTCCCTTCCTGTGGATTTCAGGGTTTATGGAATCTCTTTGTCACTCAGTGCAGTTGTGAGAGGTCATTCCCTTCCCCAAATCCTCATGATTTTTGGATAATGAGGATACTGGTGGAGACGTGCTCAGTCTGTAGCAGAGTTCCAGACTCAGAGTTTTTGGGTTGCTCTGTCTTTGGAGGGCACTCCTGGTGTGCCTGTGAGGAGGCAGCCCAGGCCCCACAGTGCTGTGCTTCCAGCACCAACCCCCACCCTTCACCTCCCAGCCTGCTTTTGTCCACTTTTTGCAAAGTAGCCATTTCAGGGGTGTTTCTCTCTTCTCCACCCCTGATTTGCAGGTGTTTGAAGAGCTGCTTTTAGATGCTGACTACAGCATCAATGCTGGGAACTGGATGTGGCTGTCAGCCAGCGCCTTCTTCCACCAGTACACGCGGATCTTCTGCCCTGTCCGCTTTGGGAAGCGCACAGACCCCCAGGGTGACTACATCAGGTCAGGGGACTCCCCACCCCACCACCTCCCCAAGAGCTTCCCAAGCTCCTCTGATGGCAGGAGCTGATGAACTGGATCAGTTTGAAACACACATCTGTTAAACAGGGCTCATAAGCAGTGGTTTTGTTGAGCACATGAGGAAACTGAGTCATGGAGAAGCAGAGAGATACCTGTCATTCCAAGTGATAGCTGAGCAGGGCTTGTGTTCATTTGTGAGCACTTGTTGCCTCCAGCACCATGTTTGCTCACCAGGCTGGCTCCTCTTTCCAAAGGATTTGAGTGGAACTTCCCACAGCTTCTCTGCTCCAGTCTGCACTTGCTTTTCATAGAATTCTGGGATGTGCTTGGAAGGGACCTTAAACCTCATCCACTCCCTGCCATGGGCAGGGACATCTTCTACTATCCCAAGGTTTCTCCAAGCCTGGCTTTGGACATTTCCAAGGATGGGGCAACCACAGCTTCTCTGGGCACCTGTGCCAGGGCCTCCCCACCCTCAGAGGAAGAAACATCCCAATATCCCATCTAACCCTGCCATCTTTTAGTTGCACACATATAAGTTTTGTTTTCCACTCTGAGTCCTCTTTGCTTGAGAGTCTCCTTTCCTTGTCTCTCCATAATGTGCTGAGGGGCTCTCTGAAAGCACTGGGGGTTTTCTGGGCTCACTGTGTTAACACTGAACCAAGAGCTGCATTTCCCCACATCTCTTCCTCCCATCCTGGCTAGATTTGGGTATTGCCAAGGAGAAGCCTGTGCTGAAGTACCCCACAGAGTGGGACAGAAAATGACTTTGCCATTCTGCAACAATTCTTTAAAATTAGTTTGTTTTTTAAATTTATTAATGTTTAGGATAAAATGTCAGTAAAAATGTTAAAAACATATTTTTGATGAAATCAGAACAGAAGTACTGTTTAAATCACCCCATTTATTCTATGCTGCAAAGATAACTTTTGGAAGATATCATCTATGGAGGTTTGAGAAGATAAACAAATTTTTTTTGTGGAGAACAAATTAGAACTTTCCCATGGTTTGTAATATCAATATTAACATGGCACAGGTTGGTTTACACTTCTCTGAATGTATGAATATTTGACTGCAGGATTATAAACCCCCCTATTATGCCTGTTTTGTAGGAAATACTTGCCTATACTGAAGAACTTTCCCTCCAAGTACATTTACGAGCCCTGGACCGCATCTGAAGAAGAGCAGAAGCAAGCAGGATGTATCATAGGTAATTCATTTGCATTCCTTGCTAGGGATTTTCCTGCTGCTAACTATCCAAAATAAATGTGTATGAGTTGGAAGCATCACAAACCATTTATCTTCTGAAAATGGATGAATCCAACAGCCTTCCTGCTATTCATTCTCCATTAACATTTTTTTATTGGAGTCTCATTTCATAGTACATACTTTTGCCTCAACTTTATGTCCTAAAACTCTTGGATCACTCTATGCTTTTTCCTTTGAATTTATCCATCTTGGATGCTTGGCTGCTTTAAATAGTATCTGAACATCTTGTGCTTTTACTCCTGCTCTAACACATCTTTGAAGGCTCTTATGTCAAAGTAGGAGCTCTTCTCTTTGATGGAGCAGATTAGGCACTTCCATTTAAGAAAAGCTGGAAGTGTTTCAAATCTGGGGAAAATGTCCTTGCCAAGTGTGGTAAAGGCTCTGTCTCCACATTGCCCAGGTCAGGATTACCCCTTCCCCATGGTGAACCACAAGGAAGCCAGTGACCACAACCTGCAGTTGATGAAACAGGTCAGAGAGGAGCAGCACAGAACAGCCCAGCTCACGAGAGGTGAGAGGTGCTGCAGCACCCAGGTTCCCTGTGCTGTGACACTCAGGCTGTCCCCAGGAACCCGGGGCTCTGAGGCTTGGCTTTGAGTGCTTTTCCAGGATGCTTTTCTTCCTTGGATACTGACATCATGTGCAGCTCTTCTGGTTACTGTTAAAACACTGTCCCATGTGCAAGAACCAGTTGTGAGCCTTTTCTCCCTTCCCTCTCCCCTTGGAGCACCCTCCAGCCTGCAGCCTGCCTTCCCAGAACCAGGTCTTCTCCTCCTGCCCTGACTCCCCATCCCCAGGCTGGTTGGGTGTGTCCCCAGGGTTAGAAATCTCTGCAGAAATCTCTGCAGCTCTGCCCTTGCCTCTTGTATACCAGAATATTCTTGTTTGTCCTTGGTGCCATGATCTGCCCTATGCCATAGCAGATATTGCGATTCTCACTGAGCACAAAACTCTGGAGAGGTGAGTTCAAAGAAATTTATCTTTTGGTATGGTTTTCTGCATTGCTTAATCCAGTGGATAACAGGTAATTATCAGATAAGGCTAGAACACTCAAACTGTGCTGAGCCTGAAGTAATTAATTAATTAGGTATTTCCAGTCACACAGATGTGTCACTTATGGCACCTGTGCTCTTAGAATTGAAATCCCAGGGCCTGTGCTGAGCTCAGAGGAATCCTTCACAGTAAAATATGGAATCTCAGCCTGGTTTGGGTGGGAAGGGACATTAAAGCTCATCCAGTTTCCACCCTCTGCCATGGGCAGGGACATCTTCCACTATCCCAGGTTGCTCCAAGACTCATCCAGCCTGGCCTTGGGCACTTGCAGGGATCCAGGGGCAGCCACAGCTGCTCTGGGCAGCCTCTGCTGGGGCTCAGCACCCTCACAGGGAAGAATTTCTTCTCAACTCACACAGGGTGGAGTGAAATGAGCTTTAAGGCCCCTGCCAACATAATCCATCTTGGGATTTCATGATTCTTGTTGCCTATGAACAGAAGCATTTTCTGATACTTTTTAATCTTCACCTGACTGAAGTCAGGGAAGTCTTTGAAAACTTTATTCCTTCTTTATTTCTTGCTGTAGATGATGCAGATGACCCCATGGAAATAAAGGTAAAACGTGACCGTTCTGAAGAAAACATTTCAAAAGGAAAAGTGGCCAGAACGACAGAATAAACCAAAATTCCCTCGGGGTCACCTGCTGGGTACCAAAAAAAAGTCAAGAGGGGAGAGCCAGGGGTCAGCTGAGCTGGCCAAAGCACTGTCCTCCATACTTGGCCCTGCTAATGGTGCCTCTTGTTTGTGACCTGACCTTAGGAGACCTGTTGGACCTTGAGTGGTTTTACTGCAGTTTTGGATAGAATTGTTTATTTCTGAGTTGCTTCTGGACCATTTGTTGCAGCTGTTGGCTGAATGCAAGGTGTGTTTCATGCACCTGTATAAATAGATTTTGTGGCAAATACTCAATGTCATAAGACTGTGTGCACATTAATGTGGTTGCACATTAATGTTAGGACCCTTGATTTGCTTGCCTTATAGAGATGGACACTTAGGGATGTTCAGATTATTTAAGTTCCCAGTTTGTGATTGTAGTCCCCAGTTTGGGGAGACAGAGCAGAGTGCAGCCCCTTGTACCTTGTGTAGTTTTAAAGTCATAAGTAGGAATTATTATGCATTTTAAGGACAACATTGAAAATATCTCACTAAATTAGGCCTAATGCACAACTTTATCACCATAATTGTCTTCCTTGGCTGACTAGAACTGCAGGCTAGAGATCAATTCTATCATGTACCACATGGAAAAAATTTCCCCTCCCACGGAAATGTATTGTTGTGAAGTTTGACAAGGCTGGATTAGTCAATTATGGTTGTTGGTGGGGAGTGCACTGGGGTTTTCATGGCTGCAGGTAGCATTTTGGGTTTGGAAAGAAATAAAACTTATTTCTTACATGAACAGTACAAGGGCTCTGGATCAATCTGTTATCATAATTGATATCCATCGGTCTTCTCGGGAAACCTGGTGGCACAACAGCTCCAGCAGCCTTCCAAACTCCTTGGAAGCATCCTGGGATCTGGTGCAGGAGCAGCACGGGAACCGTGAGCACCAGCAGGATCTTTCAGTGCTGCTGGAGCCCTGCAGGACCTGTCGGGGCAGATCCTGGCAGCAGGGCAGTGAGGTGTAAATACACAGCTGCAAGGATCTTCCTGCTGCTCCAAGCCTGCATCAAGTTCCTGGAGATGCCCATGTTCCCTGACACTTCAGCCCTCCAGAAAACTTACTGACTTGCAGGGATGGCCAGAAGGAAAGGCCTCCTGCCTCCCCCTTTAGGGAAGGTAGAATTCCAAGGTGTCAGATTGGTAGATTCCAGGGATCAGTATTGGGCCCAATCCTATTTAATCTCTTCACTGATCATCTGAATGAGTGACTGAGTCCACCATCAGTGAATTTGCAGATGACTCCAAGCTGGGAGAACGTGTCCATCTGTTGGAAGGGAGGAGGGCTGTGCAGAGACCTGCAATGGTTGGATGGATGGGCAGAGTCCAATAAGATGAAGTTTGATAAGATGAAATTGGCCACAGCAACCCCCTGCAGCACTACAGGCTGGGGATGGTGTGGCTGAAAAGGACCTGTGGGTGCTGGCCAACAGCTGACTGAACATGAGCCAGCAGAGAGCCCTGGTGGCCAAGAGGGCTAGTGGCATCCTGGCCTGGATCAGGAATGGTGTGGCCAGCAGGAGCAGGGAGCTCATTCTTCCCCTGTGCTCGGCACTGCGGAGGCCACAGCTGGAGTTCTGTGTCCAGTCCTGGCCCCTCGGTTCAGGAAGGACATTGAGACACTTGAGCACCTCCAGAGGAGGGCAGTGGGGCTGGTGAGGGGCCTGGAACAAACCCTGTGAGGAGTGACTGAGGGAGCTGGGCTTGTTCAGCCTGGAGAAAAGGAGACTCAGAGGTGACCTTATCACTCTAGATATCCCGGAAAGGTGGTCTCCCCTGAACCTCCTCATCTCCAGGCTGAGCCCCCCAGCTGCTCCCTCAGCCACTCCAGGGGCTCTATCCCCAGTCCCATTCCCTTCCCTGGGACATGCTCCAGTCCCAGAAGGGACATGCTCCATGCTCCAGAAGGTGTTTTTGGGGTGAGGGGCTCAAAGCTGACTCCAGGATTGGAGGTGGGGCCTCAGCACTGCAGGGGGACAGTCACTGCATGGTCCTGCTGGACACACCATGGCCACACAAACACCCCCAGGTCCTTTTCCCCACCTGGAAGGGCTGAGCTGGTTTGTGACTTCACAATCAAGAGTCTTGCTCTGTAAAAATGAATTACTGGCAGAGTGTGTCTGTCTTTGCATAATTTTCTCAAAGGGGATCTGACCTTGGAGGCAGCAGGAGCTGATGTGGAGTTGTGCAGATACTGACACACAAGTCTTGCACCTGATGCATCTCTCTGAGTTCTGGGCTGTGGAGACAAGTGATGGCATCTTTGCTGGGCATTCCTGGCATGATTCAAAACCATTCCAGCTGGATTTGGGTCACCTTAGGTGCTTTTGCTAAAGGAGGGAAATGTGTCTGATGGTGATTTTGTTTGATTTTTCTTTTTTTTTTTGACCACTCCTGCCCCTCCATTGGCTTCCTCACCCCTCTCCAACATGCCCAAAGCTTCTCTTTATGCCTGGGATGATATTCATTCTCATTTTTGCTTCCTTATGAGATTTAAATTGTAAAGCTTTTATTTGGGGGTTGTGAATTAGGGCTGTGTCTTTTCTGATTTCATTTCTTTTGGTTTGAGTTATCATTGATAGAAATGAGAGTGATGTTACCTGTTGAGTGACCTGTTTGGGTCACTTGTGGAGCCTTTCATGGAATCCCAGGCTGGTTTGGGTTGGAAGGAAGCTCACCCTGTTCCATGCCCTGCCATGGTTGAGAACACCTCCCACAGGAGGCTCCAAACCCTGCCCAGCTCGGCATTTTCAGAGCTGCTTTAGTGTTTTGCCAGCAGTGGAGTTGATGAACCATCTGCCCTCTGTCTGCTGAGGAAATCTTCACTTCTCCTAAGAGGGCAGAGCTCCCTGGGGGCTGCAGCTCCTCCTGAGGGGCAGCTCTGATCTCTGCTCTCTGTGACAGGGACAGCACCCAGGGAAGGGCTGGAGCTGTGCCAGGGCAGGCTCAGGCTGGAGATCAGGGAAGGGTTCTCAGAGCAGGACATCAAACAGCCCTCCCTTGCTGGGGGTGATGCATCCAAGAGCCACCAGGGAGGTGTTGATGCCAGGCTGTAGCTGACCCTCGAACTGGAACCACCTCTGCAGGCCTGTGATGGATGATCCTTTTTGGAATAAACCTGTTCAGTGCAAACCCTGACACTGAGTCCCTGCTCCAGCTGAGCAGGGCTGGGGCCTCTGGTGCTGTCCCTGAACCTCCACCAGCTGCAGAGAGGGAAGGACATCCTGCCTGTCCTCCCACCAACACTGTCCTGTTTGGCATGGATGTTTATGGGAGAAATAGCTATGTTTTAGACTGATTTAGTTTTCCTGGGTAACTAAACTATATTCTCTCAGGCTTCTGTTGATGGGAGAAGTTCTGAGCATTAATCTTTGATATAAGTTTAATATAGTCTTTTAATAAAATCTTCTGAGTTTTTGTATCTAAAAAATGTGTCTGAGATAAATAGAAATTCTTTCCCACATCTAAACTTCAAGACCACAGAAATCTGTATCCTAATGTTTTTCATTACATTACATGGTTAAGTGAGATCTCACTTTAAAAAATGAGATTTTGAATTCCAAGTAATTTACTCCTTATTTTATTTGGTTCATTAACAGGAACACTAATTACCCTGCTCTATGCAGTAAACACTGGTGAGAGGCAGTGGAGCCAAGGCATGGGACTTTTATCCACAATTAATTTTTTTCATGGTTCAAATTTTCCTGTCAAAATTGCAACTTTCCATTTTACTCAACTGATTTTCCTAATCCTGAAACTTCAAGCACGATGGTGATGGATCCTCAAACAGCCCATTGGCATTTCAGACTTGGGATGAGTTTTGAATTTTAATTCTTTGTGGTTGAGTGGAATTGGATGAAGAAATATCTTGAACAAAATAAGCACTACGACCCAGGATTTTTGGACCTTACATAGAATTTCAAACATTCATTTGCTTAATGTGTAGAAATCAGAAGTGGAAGGTAAAATTCTTGTGAACCCTCATGAAGTCTGATTTTGTTTAAAATAATGGGATCAACTGATCTCAGCCTGGTTTGGGTGGGAAGGGATATTAAAGCTCATCCAGTTTTCACCCCTGCCATGGACAGGGACACCTTCCACCATCCCAGGCTGCTCCAAGCCCTGTCCAGCCTGGCCTTGGACACTTGCAGGGATCCAGGAGCAGCCACAGCTGCTCTGGGCACCGTGTGCCAGGGCATCACCACCCTCACAGGGAAGAATTCCTGCCCAATATCCCATCTAACCCTGCCCTCTGCCAATTTTATGGTTTAAAAACTCTAAACCAGGTTTTTCTATGTCTAATACCAACTCTACCTTTCCAAGCTGCAAAACTGGCAGTGAAAAATCACTCTCAAGCAGTTTTGTAACATCTCAGAATCCCAGAATGCCAGACTGGTTTGGGTTGGGAGAGACTTTAAAGCTCATCCTGTTCCACCCCCTGCCATGGGTAGGGACCCCTTCAGCTACCCAAGGGTGCCATGGGTGATGTGACACAGAGCACCGTGTCTGGCCACACTCAGGGTGTTGGCTCTGGGCTGGGAACTTGGCCTTTGGGCTCTCGTGGTCCCGGTTCGGAGCCACGCGGGCTCGTCCCGGCCGCAAGAGGAGAACAGAGAGCCCGGCAGCGCAGATGGGGGGACACGGCGGCTTCCAGAGCTGCTCCTCCACATCTGCAGAGCAGCCAAATGTGCCCCAGCATTTCCTGTCCATGCAGCAACCCATGGTTGGTAAAAACACAGTTTTAACAGGTGATGATAGAACTCTTCCCTTCCATAGAGTCTGACACTGAAAATCACAGAATCACCGAGGATGGAAAAGTCCTCCAGGATCATCGAGCCCAGCCTGTCACCAATCCACACCTTGTCAACCTGGATAATGTAATATAATGTAATGTAATATAATAATATAATATAATATAATATAATATAATATAATATAATATAATATAATATAATATAATATAATATAATATAATAACATTATACTATAATATAAAAGTTAAATTTTATAATAAATAATATATAAAAATAAATAATAGAAATAAATTTTATATTAAAAATATTAAAATTTCCCATCATATATAAATACCTCTAATATATGCATTTACATGTACATTGTATCCATGTACATTCATGTCTATAGGTCCATGTGTTTATAGTCTCTGATTCCCTTTTATCCTGATGGCATATCATCATAAAGCATTTAACAATATCTAATGTGATTTGTGCTGCTTTCACTCTCTCACCCTTTTACACACATTCATAGTCTACGAATGCACTCCCAGGGACTCTTTAATTTCTCTGTATAACTTCAAAAACACAGAATATATAACAAAATGCACAAGGTATTTTGCATTATTTGTACTTACATTTACTATTAATCTCACAGAGTCATGTTACTGTTTGCTGTTGGGTACTACACATGCTGCTGTGTTAGAACATTATCTATAATTCTAGATTACATATATTTATATTTATATTTATATTTTTTATATTTATATTTACATTTATATATCTCACAACCTCACAGTCTCCTTTTGTGTGCACATAAAAGTATAGACATTATGTATAAATATTATGTATATTTGTAGTCTGTATAGGCTCAGGTGCCCCTTTCCATAAAATCTTTATAACATAATACAAAACTATATTTACTTCATGTAACCTGTAATACAGATTACATAAAATGTAAGAACATAATGGTGATATCATTTTATTATGTTGGATTATAAATTTCAGCATTTATTTATTATTTTTTATTTCCATTCATAATTTTACCACAATTAATTATAATTGTACAATTATAATATTACGTGATTATATTTTATTGTACATAATCTGTATTACATCTAAATCTGACTGATAGCACTCGGTGTTATCACGTGTGTGTTCACCCAGCGTGACGTG